GGGGGTGGGAGGGGGGAGGAGAGCGAAGTGTGAGAATCTAAAGGAGATGGGACGTCAAAAAAGTGCAATAAAAGAAACAGATTTACGATAACGTGGGAGTGGATAAACATAAAAGACAATTATCATTCACTAAGCAATATGTAGAAGATAAGGTATAATTAAAAAAACCGTCTGTAGGTCTCAACATCTAATGACGGTGGTTCACCCCCAAATCCAACTTCATTTATAACTTCCAATGGCTAAAATGAGAATAATATTGAGCGAAATTAAATATATGTAATTAGTAAATGAAATAAATAAAAAATATTATCAAGTAGTGTGGGAAAATCCCCGAGGCATTCGTATTGTAACTATGAAGCATGTTGCTTTTAACTGTTGACCAATTGTAGCAAACGATGTTAACATTAATTACCCCATTTGCATAAATTTTAAATCTTCTCTTATGAGGTGCGCGATAGACTTACCTCCACGTGGTGCACCCTGGGCAACGTATACTCATACGGCAAAAAGTCTATTAACTTCAAACTACCATCACCTTACTCTATGCCATATTCGACTATTTCACAGTACTCACCTCACCTTTTTCTACCCTTGTGTCTTTCTCTTTTACATCTTTGAATCTCTCTTCTGCTCCCCCTCTCGAATTTTTCTCACTTTGATTTTCCTTTCTCTCTGTGAAGCCCGAAGTCAACTAAAGGGCTAATGATAGCCATCAAAACGCTTGCCATTTGATGTAAATAACTAAATCTTCCCTTATTGAGGGATTATTAGGCAGTTTAATTTGTGAGGTAGGCTATTACCTGGGTTTACCAAAAGTGTGCGGATATAAATTTTGACTCAAACAACGGGAGCAGATCTTTCAGATTTTTTTGGAAGGTACCCCTCGATAAAGCCCTTTTAAAAAATGGTGAACTGAATAAGGTCGTTGCCCCCCCCCCCCTCCCCTCCTCGCATGTTCGTCTCAGTTGGCGGGACTATAGGCCGGCTAGGAGAGGTCAACTCTGGCGTTATAAATTCTAGGAGGTGTTCTACTTCTAGTAATCAATCCTTTTCTCCTAACTTCAGGGGTATTCGGACAATTGGGTGTTCGGTAGTCTCCGGAATTTTCGTGCTCGTTAACATGTTCTACTTGCAACCGCGTCTAGCCATGCCGAACATCAAGCATATGAAGTTGAAGAGGGCGAAGAATTGCAGTGACAATGACAGCGATAATGTGGACTATGATGATCAAAGCTTCACTGCAGCTGAAATTGAAACGGAGCGGATTAGTAAAGTACTCGAAGGAAGACGTATCATGTTGATTGGTCTGAGTGCACTCTTCCTTACCATGTCTATTAGCAAATTCCTCTACGGAATAGCGAGCGGCTTTCAAAAACCCACCTGCATGATTCTACTTTTTAGTGGTAAGTTTAATCCAATCTATCGTTTGCATACGCTAGGATTTGAACATATGCAAATAGCAATGTTTTGGCAATCATGGAAAACTCTGTATGAACGTCCCTGAGGCAAATGATATAGCTAACTTTTTTTCACTCCAATGAGCACAGGAGGTGTGTTCCTTTTGAATATTTTCTATTCTTCATTTAACTATTTATTTATATCAAATGGCAGGCGTTTTGATAGCAATCATTAGCCTTTTGGTTGACTTCAGGCTTCAAAGAGGGAGAGGAACATTAAATTGAAAAAAGTCGAGAGGGGGGGAGGGAAGAGAAGAGTGTTTCAAAGATGTAAAAGAGACAAGCACAAAGGTAGAACAAAGGTGATGTGAGTACTGTGGAAATGAACGAATATGACATGGAGTCAGGCCATTGTAGTTTGAAGTCAGAAGTCAACTGCCGGTTTATAGACCTTTTTTGCCGTATGAGTATACGTTGCCCAGGGTGCACCACGTGGAGGTAAGTCTATCGCACACCCCTTCTTCATGTAACTAATTCTACTTTATCAACCGTAGATAATTTAGATTACAATAAAGTTTACCAATTGTCATAATCACAGTAGTATTCACGTGTCAATATTATGGCTAATTATTCCGATGGGATACCATCTAAATAATCAATATCGTTAATGGAGAAGTACTTGAGTAGGTAGTGTGACCAGTGATAAATCAACAAGTGCCAGAGGGGAAATGCCCAATTATCTAATTATTTGGATGAGGTAAACAAAGATACCAAGACAGTGACAACAAAAAGAGCATCTACCCTGAGGGGAGAGGGAAGAGGGATGTACATCAATGTGGTTCCATGATTAGTCAGGATTTTTAGTCCCTCAGGTTACACGCGTTCGGCTTTATGAAATCCTATTGGAGGATTTAATTAGCTGACCTTAAATCTGGTAGCAGAAGTGTTTAATTTACTGGTAAAGGGTAATACGGTTCGCGCTCTACGAGCAAGCTAAGAGAGTGAGAGAGAAAAAGTTTGGTTGCTCCTTTGCTTAAATATCAAAATATGTCAGCGTTAAGGATGACATTCTGATACACGACGTTTCGAACATCCTTTGTTTTTATAAGACTTAAAATAACCAGAAATTGGGCACTGGAAGTCCACGAACGTTTATAAGTAGGTGATAGATTAGGGTCGCATCCTATTCACTTGAATTCAATTTAATCTTTGGGAGGCATTAACTGGCTTTCCCTTAATACTAGTACACTCTAAAGAATTATTTATTTATTTATACCAAATGGCAGGCATTATGATAGTTTTCATTAGCCCTTTAGTTGACTTCTGGCTTCACAGAGAGGAAGGAATATCGAAGGGAAAAAGTCGAGAAAGAGAGAGAGGAGGAGGAAAGAGAAGAGTGTTTCAACGATGTAAAAGAGACAGACACAAAGGTAGAAAAACGGTGAGGTGAGTACTGTGGAGGTAATCGAATAAGACATACAGTGGGGTGATGGTAGTTTGAAGTGAGAAGTCAACTGCCCATTAATAGACTTTTTTGCCGTATGAGTATACGTTGCCCATGGTGCACCACGTGGAGGTAAGTCTATCCCACACCCCCTCTAAAGAATAATGAAGACAGGGAGCTAGAAAGCCTTTTCATATCGACCCAAACGCGAATGCCTCTCTTTTGGAAGCCTAATCACGTGATTTCTCAGAAAAATCTGTCGGGCTCGAAGTTGGCACATCAGCTCTCTGTGAAGACGCATTCCTAATATCAGACGTTCTGGATCATTACAATTCTATGCCACATCAAGGCAATTATTAAGAGGTTTTATGTTGATATTCAGATTTCTTCAAATATGGGAAAATTATGCCTTGGCTCGTTAAACTTCACTATTTAAAATCATTTGGGCCTTTCCCGTAAAAAACATCAACAAAATGAGGTATCCATATTTTAAATTATAACTAACACATATTTTTCCCTTTTAGCCATGGCTCTTAACGCCTTCCAGTTCTTTGGGCCACTCATTCGAGCGCTTCTTTCTGGTTTGGTCTCTTGTGAAGTTCAAGGTATGCTGTCTTCACTGAAAATAAAACAAAACTATAAACTTTCAGCTCACTGTTATAATGGTCCTTTCCCTCTTCCTAAGGTCGTCTATACGCTCTTATTGGTTTTGGTGATTCACTTGGAACCTTCATTGGTATGACTTCACTTCCAGTATTATACGCTTCAACAATTTTCATGAATGCCGGCTTCGTTTTCCACATGGCAGCTCTTGTACTTGGTGTCGCGTTCATTCTAAACGGGTAAGTTATAAATATTTAGTACTTATAAATCTTTCAGTAGAAAGATTTTATGCAAATTGTTGATACATTTCGTTTCTGTCACCCCCGGGTCACCACAACCAGGCGACATCAGTTAACAATCCACAAGAGAGGATTATAAACTGAACCTTGTGAAACCAATTTATTAACAAATGGCATTGTAGCGTTTTCAATTGGTCGATGTTTGTGATTGCGTTTGAAGCGACAACTACTTGGTCGTAGGTTAGTCGCGGAGTCAACAGAAAAAAAATGGAAGGGGCTGAAAAAAGATGAAGGCAGCTTGCGAGACAGCCTCATCACCCCTCCCTACAATCTCCCCCTCTCTCCCTCTCTAGCCTACTGGGTGCTATCTCTCAGCCCATGCAAGCCATTTGGGACTTGGGGTGTTTTTTTTTCTAACTTGTGTACAACAGCGAGAGAGATGTGCATGCCTATGACTAATCCCTTTTCAGAGGGTTTTGAGTCATCACAAGTTCTGTTTGTGCCCTTAGTCTACCTTTTAAAAGTCAATTTCCAATATAAGTCGTTTCTCCGTTTTGTCAAAGTGAGAATGTGCCGCTGTAGTTTAATCAGGATGACGATTCATTCCCTTATTACGATGGTTGTTGCTTAAAGTTTGCCTCTTTAACTCTAGGCTGATGACGCAAGCAACTAGTCTCGACTTCAACTGTTTTCGTTCATTTAATTTAATTAAATTACTTATTTCCTTTTGGCATTTCACAGGCATTTAAATCTAGACAGCGTAAAGCTCTATGCGTATGCCTAAAAAGTAGCCATGCTTTTAATTAGACGATTTACATGCAATCGTTGTGTTCACTCATTCACTCCGGTGATAGGATGACCTTCAATTGTCTGTTCCACCCCAGCAAACAATTTCTTGTTCAAGCTAAAGTTCGCATTTTAGTAAAAGGTAGATATAATGAAACATTTTTTTATGGCAATGAGTAGAGAAGGGATGCAAATTTTATAAAACCCACATGAATCGATAGCTAGAAAGCCTAAAAACGCTCACAAGTGAAAATCGATTATGACCTTGAAGCAAGCCTTGTTTTAGTGAGCTAAGATCGATGAGAAACCCGAGTGAACATTTCAGAAAATGAGTCAAATTTACAATAAATAGTGACCTTGGGGTAAGCAATAAGCAAATTAAGCAGAGAGAAGGAGTAGTTCGCTACATGGTATCTAACATTAATTAGACTAATTACCTTCTGCATATCTATTGCTATTAACCACAAACCCATTAACATACGAATTTCTCTCTCCCGCTCACTTTCACTCTCCCCTCTCCTCTCTCTCTCTCTCTCTTAGAGATGATGAGTTATCTTTAAAAAAAGAGATTTATCACCACCGGCGACGAATAGGGGTTTTTATAAATATTCTCTTTTTATGGATTCCCCAGCTTTATATTATTTACTATGCTTTGTCTCTAAATTCGCGGCTCAAATGAAGGCGAAGATAAAATCGGTTCTCTATTGTCTTTCCGAATAAATTCAAACGCTAGTGCTTATTTATTTGTTTGCGGAAATCTTCCGTTAATTATAAAACCGTCAAATACCCATGAGGCATCGAGTTTTGGAGGAGGAGGAGGCGAAATGCTAAAAATGTTGGTATCAATCATTTAAAAAAATGAGAAAACCGATATAACTTCCAACAGAGCAGTAGTTTACCTCTGATGATTCAAACAAAATGTATGATAAATGCCCTTGGAAAGCATGACCCTTCTAAGCTGGTTTCTTTCCTCAGGACATTGTGCCCACCTACATATCGCTAGGCTACGTTTACTCACACCCAAAGAGTACGATAAAAACAGTTGTTTAGCTACTCTATGACTTTTCAATGATTCAAAAAAGTTTCAAACATATAAATTTTATCGTTGAATGTCAAAATAGCACTTGGCAAATGGGAGCTTTGGTCCCACAAACTGTCAATCTGTGTCAGGTCCGTCTGTCTGTCCGACCCAGACGCAACGGCGAGACTAAACAAACACCAGTCCTTTGAGTCTTTTTGTATTTAACTCGGTAAGGAACTTAATAGAGACCTTAACACATCATCCTCTCTCAAGAAACTTACCCACGGATTGACTTTGTAATTGCGTGTCAAAGTTATATTTCTCCTCCATTCTTATTGTCTAACGTAAAACGAAACAACAAACATAGTTTTAAATGTGTACTAATCTATCATTATATATATTTTTTTCTATTTCTTCAACCTCTACCACCTTTAAGACATTAATGAACAAGTTTTTTAGTGACATTTGTTAGTAAAGCTCATGCACTTCTCCTTGTGTTTATCAAATTGGAAAGAGAAATGAAGATGTCACATGGGGAGTAGAGGTTGCCGTTAGACACTTGAGCGACATCTGAACCGTGCAGAAATGAAAGATGTCAATTATAATCCCTGTCTTTGTTTTTTTGTTTACTATAGAGTCAATATGTACCTCCTCCTCTATGGAAAGTACAAGTGATTGCTCACAAAAGGAGAGGTGGAGACATCTCAAATGCCAAATTTAAAGCGGAGTTCCCTTCAATCACAATTTAAATCCATTTAACGCAAATTTGAGATATTGTTCTGCGATTTATACCTTTCCCTCCTC